ACCCAGGGCTTCGTGCCTGTTAGGCAAGTACTCTACCCACAGAGCCACAGCCTTAGCCCCGTCCCTTAACCATCTCAACAACTTGTTTTTGTGTCTAGAACAGCACATTCCACAAACCTGAGGAGAGGGGCAGGCTGTGAAAAGGAGACAGGCTGTGTAAACAGAGGGGCACTAACCAAAGTAAAAACAAAGGACAAGAGCACAGTGTGCGGCGTTTCAAATCCGCTTTCCTTGTAAAGTTGGACAGAGACAGAGCTATGGAAAAGAACTGATTAGTTAACAGCGGGGTTACTTGACGTTACCCCACCCCCACCCTCAAAGCCTTATCCATGAAAGCTCTCTACTACGGAGTTCCACGCCTGTCCCAAAGGTCACCGAGTGTGTGTGTGTGTGTGTGTGTGTGTGTGTGTGTGTGTGTGTGTGTGTGTGCATTAAGACAGAGGGGGCATGCAGACTCAAACAGACCTGTGTAGGAAATAAAGCTATTATCTCATTATCTCATTTTTCTGGCTTTTTAAATTTTCAGGTAAATGGCTGATGTTTTATTTGATGGCTGGGAGCTTTAGACAGAGTGACTTTGTTTTTGGTTTTTAGTTTTATTTGCCAGAGCCCAGGGCAAGCAACTAACTCTAAATCAGGATCTCCTGTAATTTGTTGTCGGGGTGGGGTGGGGTGGTGGTGGTGGTGGTGTACATGCATGTTGAGGGAGGGCAGAGGTCAATTTGAGTGCCTTAAATTGTTTTCCATCTTGTTTATTCATGGTGTGTGTGTGTGTGTGTGTGTGTGTGTGTGTGTGTGTGTGTGTGTGTATCAGAACACAGCTTGTGGGAGTCAGTTCTCTCCTTCCGCCATGCAGATTCCAGGGATCCAACTGATCATTGGTTGAGGCAGCAAGAGACTTCCTGCTGAGCCTTCTCTCTCTCACCCGATGTGAAGCTCATAGCTTTGGGGGGGCCTGGCTGACTCCTCTCCCCCAGTGCTGAGTTGACAGGCATCAGCTACAGTGCCAGCTTTTTACATGGGTGCTGAGGACCCACATCCAGGTCCTCATTCCTGCATGATAAGAGCTTTGTCGGTCGGCAGAACTGTCTCCCCAATTCCAGTCTCCTGCCATTTTTTACTGAGCAGTTTGACCACTTGTTTTGAGTCTTTGGGGTGCTATATTCCTACAATTGTTAGGTCACGTGGTGGTTCTATGTTTCACTCGTGGGAGAACTGCCCTCTGTTTCCCACAGTGGAACCTGTTCACACTCTCACCAGAAATGGACGAGGATTCCAATTTCTGCACATCGTCATGACACTTCGGATCACTTACTCAGGTTTTTTTTTTTTTTAAATCTACTTTCTCAGTAAAAAATGAATCATACCTCATAATAATTGACACACACACGTTCATGGGTGCAAGGGTGCACATGTTTGTGCTGGAGGTGTGTGCACGAGCATGTTATGTGGAGGCCGGATAACTCCAGTATCATTCCTCCTCAGCTCTGTCTGCTTTGGTTTTGAAGACAGGCTTTCATGGGCCTGCTGCTCTCTGGCTGCCCAGTGAACCTAAGAATCGGTTTGTCGCCATGCAGTGGTGGTGAACGCCTTTAATCCCAGCACTCTGGAGGCAGAGCCAGGAGGATTTCTGTGAGTTCGAGGCCAGCCTGGGCTACAGAGCGAGATCCAGGACAGGCACCAGAACTACACAGAAAAACCCTGTCTCAAAAAAAAAAAAAAAAACAAAAACCCAAAAAATAAAAAAGAATCGTCTTGTCTCCTCCTCCTCCGGGTTAGGATTACAAGTATATACCATGGAGCTCTGCTCTATGTTTGTTTCTTTGTTTGGTTGTTTTTTTTTCTTTTTTGTTTTTTCAAAACAGTTTCTCTGTGTAACAGTTCTGGCTGTCCTTGAACTCACTCTGTAGACCAGGCTGTCAGTTTTTGTTTTATTTTGTTTTGAGACAGAATTTCTCTGTGTAGCCTTGGCTGTCCTCAAACTCGCTCTGTAGACCAGGCTGGCCTTGAACTCATAGAGTTCCTCTTTCCTCTGCTTCTCCAGTGCTGGGATTCAAGTCGTGGGTCACCACCAGAGCACCCAGCTTTTTACATAGGTTCTAAGGATCGAACTGGGATCTTCACGCTTGTGTAGTAAACAGTTTCCTGACTGAATTATCTCCAAAGCCCCTCAGAGAGTGTTGCATGTTGTATATTTATTGGAAAGATGTGTGTGCAGCTGCTTTTTTCCCCTTTTATTCAGTGTTGAGAATTGAGCCCAGGGCCTCATGTACATCAGGAAAACTGTCTTCCACTAAGCTGGGTCCCTAGGCCCTCTGTCCATGTCAGCTGGTTGTTTGCTGGGGTATTTCGTAGGTTCCAGATTCTTGGGCTGCACATGCAGTCTGAACACATGTGTTACTAACACGGAGACATGAAGAGAATGTTGTTTTTCCTTTAACTTCCTTGTTCTCAGCTTCTCTTAGGAAAACAGATCTGGACTTGAATTCCCACACACGAACTCTCTAAGGGCATTTGGCTTCAGGCCTGGCCACAGAGGGCCTTGGGTTTTGCAATCCCTATTGAAGCTGCATAGTTACTTTACGTTAGTTTTGGAGAGAGACTGACCGGCTTTGCTGGCCCTTCTCCAGCTCTTTCAGCTTATCCCATATGCATTAAGAAACTCGAATGTAGCAGCTCCCCTTTGGGCCAGGTGTTGAGGGTGTGTGTGTGCAGAGAAGGAAAATGCTCAGGCCTTTGAAGTGACTAAATGGCCGGGGTGGTTCCTGTGTTTATGAGCAAATTACACTGCTATGGGTTTCTAGAACTCTTTTTTTTTTAACATTTTATTTATTTATTATTTTATGTTTTTGATTTTTATGTTTTGTGTGTTTTTGCTTGTGTGTGTTATCTATGGACCACATGTATGCAATGCCTGTGGTGGCCAGAAGAGGGCGTCTGAGCCTCACCCCCCCCACCCCCCACCCCGTGTCTAAGGGTTTCTACTGCTGTGAAGAGACACCATGACCACAGCAACTCTTAGGAAAACATTTTATTGGGGTGACTCACTTATAGTTCAGAGGTTCGGTCCACCGTTATCACGGCGGGACATGGTAGCATGTAGGCAAGATAGCACAAGGGCAGACATGGTGCTGGGGAAGGAGTTGAGAGTTCTACGTCTTGATCCACATGTAACAGGAAGTGAACACTGGGCATAGTTTAGGTATAGGAGATAGGAGTCCTCAAAACCCACCCCCACAGTGGCACCCTTCCTCCAACAAGGCCACACCCCCTAATAGTGCCATTCCCTTTGAGGGCCATTTTCTTTCAGACCACTCACTGCACCCTGGAACTAGAGATACAGAGAGTTGAGAACTGCCTTGTGGGCGATGGGAATTGAACCGGGACTTCTGAAGGGGCAGCCGGGTGCTTTTAACTGCTGAGCCTTCTCTCCAGCCCTGAGTTCCTAGAACTTTTTTTTTTTTTTTTTTTTTTCTAGACAGGGTTTCTCTGTGTAGCTTTGCACCTTTCCTGGAACTTGCTTTGGAGCCCAGGCTGGCCTCGAACTCACAGAGATCCGCCTGCCTCTGCCTCCCGAGTGCTGGGATTAAAGGCGTGCGCCTCCACCGCCCGGCTTGAGTTCCTAGAACTCTTAACTCTTTGGAGAAACTGCTAGCACCCCCTTAATACTGCGCTACCCTCTTGTGTCGCTTGATAGAAGCATGGAAAAAAGGAACAGGGAGGTTAGATACTCCCTGACGATCGGACTCGGGATGAAGGCGAAGGGCGGGCAGAGCAGGCCTAACGGTAACTCTCGCAGCTGCACCGGCTTCCATCCCCAGCTTAGCGGTTCCCATCCTTTTTGACCCTTGACATCTTTGCACATCAGCCTCCTTACCTTGAGAACGGGTGATTATAATTCTCACCCGTACTTCTTCATGGTTGGGGCTAGCCTGGCACTCACATGTAGCTCAGACTGGCCTCCTCTCAGCAGCCTTCCAGGTGCTGGGATTACAGGTGTGTGCCAGAGAAACCTGTTTTCTGAGGGTGACGGAAGGAGATGGAGTCTCTTTTCCGGGGACAGTCTGTCTTGGCTGACGTAGGACATCCTTACTGGAGTACCAGCTCCTCTTTGCCTGTTGCCCTGTGGTGCTTGAGGTCACCGTGTGGTCCAAGCGCTGCCATCCTTTGCTGGATGCGACAGCCTCTGCTTTGCCACAGCATCTGAAAGTGGGAACCTGGGGGCCCTGCCTGGGGAGTGTGGGACTCTTCTTTTCTGGGCACACAGCCGCTAACTCAGACCTGGTACCACCGTCCGGTTCTTAAACCCCTGGCCTGTTCTGTCTTTGAATTTCTGACCCAGAAGAGATAAACTGGCCCATTGAGGAGCCAAGGCATTGGTTCCCAGTTCTGGGTCCCACCATGAGCTTCACTGGTTCCCCGGGAAGAACCACAGTGACTGTCACCCTCCAGGAGGCAGGAGCTGGGGGCACAGGTGTGATAGCTTTTTGTGGTATCTGCCTGTCTCTGCATCAGGTTCCCCAGCCACCCCCGGTCACCTCATCATTTCCAGGGAGGTGCAGGAGGCTCTTGCCCCAGCTTATGATGGCCTTGACCCCATCCTGCTGCTTGCAAGTTAGGCTCGAGGTTAGGAAAAGAGAGCAAGGGAGGACAGGAAGTTTACAACACCTGGAGAGGGCCTGGGGATGTCGTTCAGTCTTCAGCAGAGAATGAAGCTGGGTGTGCTAGTGCATGCCTGTAACCCAGCACTCAGGAGGTGGAGGCAGAAGTTCAAGGTTATCCTCTGCTAAATCATAGTGAATTTGAGGCCAGCCTGGGATACATTAGACCTTATTAAAAAAAAAAAAAAAAAAAAAAAAGGTCTAGAGAAAATCTATTGGTCCTCAATATACCAACATATTGTCAACAACTGGATTGCTAATTAGCTAGGTGTGCCAGAGTGTTGGTGCCAGCGGGGCCCAGCCTGGCACCACTCCAGTCCATGGTTCCTCTCTCCACAGCTCTGGAGCGGTGAATTGCACCAATCCCTTGCCCATCGGAGGCCTCAGTTACATTCAGGGCCACACCGACTCCCACCTTGTCAACAAAACTGTGGGTGGGTGCCTGGATGCCACAGCACAGAAGTTCCCCAACAGAGAGGCCTTGGTTATCCTCCATGAAAACATCAGGCTGAACTTCGCACAGCTCAAGGAGGAGGTAAGTACTGACCCTGAACCTTCCAAGAGCAGCCGCTGGTCCCTAGCTGTTATAGTTGAATGGAGCACCCAAGAGAGTGGGTGGGTGCATGCCCGTGGGGCAGTGTGCTGGGAACCCCTGAGGATCCTACTGTTGGCGTTAGGAGACAGAGGCAGAAGTGATCTAGATGTCTCTTGACCCAGGGGTTCCTGGAATATTTGTTTACTGTGTTGACTCCTTACCTTCACTGTGTTGAGTCCACCGAGGCCTGGCAATACTTTTGTTCCTAGTGACTCCTGGGCTAAGAGAGAGATTAGGATTCAGAGATCCCTCCTGCTTGTCTCCACCTCACCTGTCTTCCCCATCTGTTTATACCAGGTGGACAAAGCTGCTTCTGGTCTCCTGAGCATTGGCCTCCGCAGGGGTGACCGGCTGGGCATGTGGGGGCCCAATTGCTATGCATGGGTGCTTATTCAGTTGGCCACTGCCCAGGCAGGCATCATCCTGGTGAGAAGGGGTTTACCTGGCACCACTGGGTATGTGGAGGGATGTCGTTCAAGGGGAGCCTCTTAGATACAGAACCAAACCCGTGTCTGTCTGGCTTCCGGCTTGGTAGTGCTTTTACCCAAGCTTCGCCAAGGAGCCCTGGCAGAGTGTCGGATGCCGCTTTGCCCTTCCTGAGGGGTGCAGTGAGAGAGTGGGACATCTACCCAGGACACCGACATACACTCTCTGTTCCCCCAGGTGTCTGTGAACCCAGCCTACCAGGCCTCAGAACTGGAATATGTCCTAAGAAAGGTACCACTTGCCCCTGGTGGGCAGGGGAGTTTCTCATGATGTTTTATAGAGGCCGATGGGATGAGAAAGGACATGCTCAGTGGATAACATTACAGAGTGTCTCTCCTCAGGCTACATATGGTTGGGAGGAGGTCTTGGCTCCACAGAGTGTGTATGGATCAGCCATAAAGCTGGTGTGGATGTTAGGGGTGGAGTGTGTGTGTCGGGGTAGTGTGTGTGTGTGTGTGTGTGTGTGTGTGTGTGTGTGTTAGAGTAGAGTGCACCTTAGTGCATTGGAGGCTGTGTGTGTGTTGCTACATGGGTATGTCTGGATAGCTATTCAGGTGTAGGAGAAAGAGATCAAGACATTACTGATAGCCCCTAAGTCTGGGCTTCCTGCTGATCACAGGTAGGGGGACTTCTCCTCCCACAGGTAGGCTGCAAAGCCATCGTGTTCCCTAAGCAATTCAAAACCCAGCAATATTACAACATCCTGAAGCAGATCTGTCCTGAGCTGGAAAAGGCCCAACCAGGGGCCTTGAAGAGTGAGAGGTGGGTATGTCCTGGGTTTGTGGACTATCAAGTGACATCTCAGACTCCTACCTCCTACCCAAGGTGGAGCTGATGTCTTCCTGGGCTGTCTTCTAGCCGCATGTCACCATCCCCTCTGTCTCCCAGGCTCCCAGATCTGACCACAGTCATCTCAGTGGATAGCCCTTTGCCAGGGACCCTGCTGCTGGATGACGTGGTGGCAGTCGGTAGCAAGGAGCAGAATCTGGCCCAGCTGCGGTACCACCAGCAATTCTTGTCCTGTTACGACCCCATCAACATCCAGTTTACTTCGGTAGGACAGCGGTCTCCAGTCCCAAGCCTAGATGAACCCTGTGCCCTGGCCATGTGGCCCCGGGGATGGAGAGATGGTAGAGAAAGTCAGGAGAGCGACACTCTCCTGATTCCGGCCTCCAGCCCTCCTCTCTGCCTCCTCTCTGTTTTTGTTACTTGACCCTCCTGGGTCCTGTTGCTTCCAGCCCAGAGCAGATTTACGGGAGTCACCAGGGCTGGGAGAGGTGGACCTCATGGAGCCTATCAAGGGGAATGAGGCCCAGAGAGGGAATTTCTCCAAACCCATGGAGCTAGTTAGTGGCAGATCCTCTGAGCCACCTTATATGACATGTAAACTGGACAAAGGCAGCCGTGTGGCGTGCTCTTTTGCACTTCTGCACCCTAGCATCGGGGCCTGCACAGCTCACTGTGCGTAAGCAGAGGGAGGGGATGGAGTCAGGACAACCACATCCTCCTACTCTTATGACTCTTAGCCCCCAGCTCCTCTGAGCAGTGGTCAAAGATGGGAAGGGAACATTGACCGAAAGGCCAAGCTGTCGTCACTTGCTTATCTTCTTAGGGGACCACTGGCAGCCCCAAGGGGGCCACTCTTTCCCACCACAACATTGTAAACAACTCCAACATGATAGGCCAGCGGCTAAAGTTGCACACGAAGGTGAGATTGGGATGGGCCCTGGTGCGGGGCAGGGTGGGCCTGCTTGTCGGGCTCCCCCTGCTGGCCGGAAGAACTGACTCCACGATAGACCCAGCCTCCTGTCTCCATCTCCAGACTGCAGAAGAGTTACGATTGGTCCTGCCCAGCCCCCTGTACCACTGCCTGGGCTCCGTGGGGGGCACCATGGTGTCTATGATGTATGGTGTCACTCTCCTCCTGTCTTCTCCAAGCTTCAATGGCAAGAAGGCGCTGGAAGCCATCAGCAAAGAGAAGTGGGCATTGGTGGACAAGCCGCCTGTGGGCTGATGAGACCCTCCAAATCCTCACTCCTGGACCCTTTTCTGAGATGCTTCCTTCCTCCAGCCAGGAGACCTGGGATGGGGGGGCGGGGCTAGAGGGCCGGGTCCCACCTTGAGCTTCTTCCTGTTCACTGAGAGTTCTTGGTGGAGAGGGAAGGGGGGGGCCCTCTCACTTCTAAGCCTAATCTTGAGACCTTCCTTTGTGCAGAGGCACCCTCCTGTATGGCACCCCCACGATGTTTGTGGATGTTCTGAATCAGCCAGACTTCTCCACTTATGACTTCTCATCTATACGTGGAGGTGAGGAACCAAGGCTTGAGGCAGGTCAGCTTCCCTGACTCTGGTGAAGCCAGTTTCTTATGTAGACGGCAGAAAGGGACACCATAGAAAGGTAGCCGAGAGGAAGGTGTCCCTGGATCTGGGCCAACCTCAGCTTTTATGTGGTGTGCCAAGGCTCAGGGTCTCTCTCCTTACATGAGCAGGTGAAAGGGGTCTAGCGGACTAAAGAATGAGGACATGTGTTAGCTCCTCTTGTTTTTCTGTGATACTGAGGATTGAACCAGGGGCCTCCTGCATGGCGGGCAAGTGTTCTGTGACAGAACTGTGTCCCCAGCCCTTTACTGAGTGTTTTTGAGGCAAGATCTCACTAAGCTGCCGGAGCTGCCCTTGAACTCACTCTGTATCCCAGTCAGACTTGGAACTTGCAATGCTCCTGCCTCAGCCTCCCAAGTAGCTGGTATTCCAGGCCTACACCACCAATCCCATCATTCCTCTCTTCCTGATTCAGGTGTGATTGCTGGGTCCCCAGCACCCCCGGAGTTGATCCGAGCCATCATCAACAAGATGAACATGAAGGAGCTGGTGGTGAGTGGTGGTCAGAGCCAGGGGACGTCCGGGAAAGGCCAGGCCTGTAGTGAGTAGGGACTGACGAGCCAGACCAGAAGCCCCAAGGTGAACCTCCAGGTTGTTCTCCGCTTCCTGGAGCAGAGGTGAGGCCAAGCTGTGAGCTTATTAACCAACGCCTGGTGAGGTGTAGGGGAAATTGATAGGGAGTGAATATTATACACACATAAAATTATGTTTATAGGAATCCGGGGCAGAGATGCAGCATGGGAGCAGGTGCAGCCAAGCACTGTATCCTGTTAGCACGTCCTGGCAGGCAGGGACTGGGGACATGGGCTTGAAACCCTTTCTGGCAGTGAGGGTGGGACAAGGGCCTGGTGTTTGTTTCCAAATGGCAGGGGAGGCGGGAACTGGGGGAGGTGGTTAGAGGGGTGTGGCCACCCCAGTGACCACTGCATTTTGGCTCTGAGAGACTCAGGGTAGGGAGTTCTGCACTGGCTTCCCTGAGAGGAGCCACGCATGGTGCCTGGGGGAGGCGCTGTGTCCTCCCTTGGACCCCATTAGGTGGAGCTGGGGTGGTAACAAAGAGTCCAGGGCTCCCTGCCAGGATGTGTCTAGGTGTGGGCAGCTCTGTGCATCTTCGGCAGAGGCTGTGGGCGAAGGTGTGGATGGTAGGGGAGAAGTCAGTAGTCACTCCAGTCACTCCAGTCACCAGGACTGGCTCAAACAGGACCTGCAGTAAAGGAAGGACGGTTGTTAGGTCTTCAGTCACCCAGATGGCATCAGCGAGAATGGTGGAAATCCTAGGCCAAGCCCTTGGAGGGGGAGACCCAGTCTTCCCCTCCTTTTCCTGTAAGACAGGGGGTCTGATCACCCCTCCAGAGATGGCGTCATGGGAGGCAGCAATACCCTGGCTGGAATCTCCAGAGGCAGACAGTGGTGGCCTCCCCGCCCGGCCCCCACCTGTTTAATGGCGGCCAGCTTTCTTGGACCTCTTGGTGGGGGATTTGCAGCTGCGGAGGGCGTCTGTGTCACGAATGCGCTGACCCTTGAACTTGGCTGGTGAGGAGCAGGTGGCATCTGGCCGAGAAGTCTTGGCTTCCAACCACCTGCGGAGACAAAGAGTTGCTGGACTTGGGGAAGCTGGGTGGGGATGCTTGGGGAAGGGGCAGTGACCAGGATGGACTCGGCCCTGGAAAAATCTGGAGCTGTCATCTTCATTGGACAAGTGAGAAAACTGAGCCACTCGGTCCCAGACCCACTAGGTAGCCAACTAGGATGTATGTCCAGGCTGTCCTAACACAGGACCTTCATGCGAAGGAGAAACTGGGGACATGTGGAGGAATATGCTCACCGCCGAAGGCCACGGAGCTGGCAGGTGCATTTCCATGGGTTGCTGGCAAGAGTGAGGGTCTCCAGGTTGTCGAAGGGGAAGGTGGAGGGCAATTGGTTCAGGCGATTGTTCTCCAGATGGACGTGTTTCAGTGTGGTCACACCCAGGAAGGCACCATCTGAGATCTGGGAGGGATGGAAGGCAGAAGTGAGAGAGCCTCACCTCCAGTCCAGGCTCTCCTAGCTCTCTCCTCAGAGGCCGGAGGCCTGGACACAAGCAGCCTGTTGAGGAGCTGCGATTTTCCAAGAAGAATGACCGAGTTGTCTAGATGATGTAATCCACAACACCCTTTGGAGATGGAAGGTGTCCTTTCCAATACGTAGATGGAAAATGTTCAGGCCTTTGGCCAGGATCACCTAGCCGGTAAACAGTAGCTGCAGGGCCACACCTTGCCCCCCACCTCCAAGACAGTACCCTCCCTGCACAAACACTGGTCTGGGGAGCAGCCAGAGCTTGGCTCGGAGAACCCAGGCTGGCACACAGTGAACCTGGTTAGTGTTTGGTGGGATGGGCAGTGAGCCCAGGCTCCCCACATCCCCAGGGTCCCAGGATTTCCCCCAGTACTGTCCTCATTGCTCCTCTGCCCTCTGCCAGATGCTATTTGTGGAGCCACCTTGGTGGGGACTTTGGCCAGGATGGACGGCTCCAGAGGAAATGTATTGGTGCCCTCATCTGAGCCCTGGTGCCACAGTTCCGGTCTGGGCTCCCCATTCCAAATTGTTCCACTGCCCACCACTCTGACACTAGGGTGGTCTGCCTTCAGCTGGAGTGAGGCCAGGCTGAAGAAGGCCCACAGAAAGCTCTGTCTACCCAGACAAGGTTACCCCAGCCCAGATTGGCTTCTGCCCTGAGCTCCCTGTCTGTGTCCTCTCTCACAGCCTAGGTTGGGATGTGACATTCTCTAGTAACAAAACTGTCCTCTATTTTGTTCTGGTCCTGGCCCAAACCTCCTGGCTGAAACTGTGTGCCAGGGGGGTGATTTTCTAGTTCCAAGAAAAGGATTTTGCTCCTACATAGCCCCACCTGGCTAGACTGGTCAACCCAGTGGGGGATGAGAAGGGGTAGAAGTCTAATGACCGTGGAAGACAAAAGTCAACACTATCTGGGGGACAATGAGACAGTCAGTCTGTTCTGTGAGGAGACACTTTGGGGGGTGTGCCCAGGATCACATGTGTTCCTTCACGAGCCCCATGAGCACCAAGCCTGCACCTTGGTGGAGCCTTTTGTCTGTTTCCCTACTCAGTTGAAATGGACCTCAGGTTGCAGTAAAATTGGGTGTGTTCGGGCCCACAGAGGGGATGGGGCATCCATCAGGGTCTCTGAGGGTACGGAAGAAGTCCCCTAAAGGCATCCCCTCCGCCACTCATCCTCCAGCCCCTCATTTTACCTTAGCACACTGGCCAGCCCCGCCAGGAACAGGGACTCTTTGTGAGTCGGAGTCACTCAGCCTCTCTGTAAGGTACCTCAGTGGACAAACCTTCCTTTATGGGATGGCAGGCTTATTGGAGACCGGGAAAACGGCAGAGGAAGGGCGGAAGGCTCGACAGGAAGAGATGCCTGCTGCTCAGTGTGGGGTTTGGGGGCAGACGCCTCCCCAGAGGCCATTTGTGAGACCAGAACAGCCCATCTCTTATAAGGAGGAGTCCCGAGAGAGCGTTACTGAGAAGCATAGTGACCAGGTGAGGGAGAGAGCGATAGGGGTTGGGTGATGTGTCAGAGTCTGAGAGAGGTGGCAGGGCTCCTTGCTTTGATGATAACTGGGGGGGTGGGGGGGGAATAAGGAGTCCAGGAGGAGGGACTAGGCTGGCCTCCCAGCAGAGAAGGAGCGAGGACTCTGCAGCCAGGGCACTCACCTTCTCCAGGTTGGTGTCGTCTAGCCAGAGGGTCTCCAGGTATCGGCCGAAGGACTGGAAGGCGTTGTCTGGGATGCTCTTCAGAGGGTTGTGGGACAGCTTCAGCTCCTCCACCACCCGAAGTTTGCTCAGGGCAGCCGAGGGGTAGCTAGAGAGCTGGTTCTTGTCCAGGTGGAACTTGGCGAGGTTCTCCACATCCTCCAGGGCGCCGGGCTGCAGGGAACTGAGGGCGTTTTCTGACAGGTAGAGCCAGCGCAGGTCCTTGGCGCCCTGGAAGGCTCCAGCTCGCAGCTCTCGGATTTTGTTATTGTTGAGCTGCAAGATGAAGAGGTTGACCAGAGGGGAGAGCAGCCCCCGGGGCAGCTCCGAAACCTTGTTGTGGTCTAGATAGAGGTAAGTGAGTTCAGTCAGGTCGTCGAAGGCTCCAGCTCGCAGCACCCGGATGTCATTGTGGGACAGGTACAGGTAGATGAGCTGCTTCAGGCCTCGGAAGGCCCCGGCGGCCACCTCGCGGATGTTGCAGTGTTGCAGGTGCAGCGAGACCAGGTTCGGCATGGTCCGAAACGAGTTGGCAGCCAGCACTGGGAAATTGTTGCGCTGGAGGTTGAGCAGTTTGGTTGTCTCTGACACCTTGGGGATCTTCTGCAGCCCCACCTTGTCACAGATGACATGCTGCAGGTCGCCATGGCAGTGGCAGTTCTGGGGGCAGGCGGCCAGCGCCGGCAAGAGGATGGCAAAGAAGCTCAGACTGAGGAAGAGCACGCGGGCCATGGCCGGGATGCCTGGAGTCAGGGCTGGGGGCTGCGGCGGCGGCCCGGCGCTGGCAGCGGCAAGTCCTAGATTCTTGGGTCTCTCGGCCCATTTATAGGGCAGCCCTGACCGCAGCTGGCAGCGGAGCCAGCTACTACGTGGAGCATCGAAGCCACTGACTTAACCCCCTCCCGCCCAGAAATGCGCCCCCTGTTCTCGATGGCAGGGGGCTCTTTCCACAGCAGGAGATCATGCGTAGTGTTGGGGACCCTTTTCCCGAGCCCCCGCCCCTTGCTTCCGGCTCGCAAACTCCATGCATCACTTCTCCCTATCCTCCTCCACCTGGACCCCCCACCCTTCTGGTGGGGCAATAGATGTGTTGAGGACCTCTGAATTTCCACTGGGCAGAGGGAGGCGTTCCCAGAACTTATTTATTTGCTCAAGTTTGAGACTCCACGTCCCCCTCCCCCATACACCCTTGGCAGACAGGTCACCCTGGGCTCAGGGAGGGAGGAAGTGGGGCCCGACAGCCGGATGCGTCTCGCCGCTGTCTGGCAGCGGTGCTTTAATGGATGGGGCTGTTTGTGCCCTGCAGGCGAAGCGTGCGAGCACCTCTGTGGGTTGGGCTCCGCTTCTGGGTAGACCCTCCTCAGTTCACCCCAAGGAGATGGGAGAGCTGGTTAATGATGCTGGTTGACAATGGTCCTCTCGCCTCTGCCCCTCCTCCGAGTCCTGTCGCCAGGCCTGTAGGAGCCCAGGTTGTGGGCTTTCCCATGACCCCTCTCTCTTAGTTCTGGGCTTCCTAGTCTGTCCTTTGCACCCGCGTTCCCCTTTTCTAGGGCTGAAGGCTAAACAGAGAAGTGGGAATTGGTGTGTGTGGGGAGTGAACCACAGGCCACTGGACAAGCACGGTTGCACATTCCCCCCCTTAATCTCCCCAAATATCCCCATTTCTGGATCCTCCCCTCCCCCGTGGTTAGGGACCCACCCCTAAGGGGGTCGCACAGTGGCGGCCCGGTGGCGCCAATGTGTACTTGGCAGAGGCCAGACCTGGGCAATGACCCCAGGACTGTGTGAGCTGGTGGGAGGTGGGGTGCTGGCTACAGGCGACAAACCTGGGCCAGATGCGAGGCTGTGGGCAGCCCCGCCCTAGTGGACCCGGCTTCTGTTCACTCGCCAGCCACACTGTCTGGAGTCCTGTGGAGAAGGCTGGGTGAGCAGGCAGGTTACAGTTTTGGCCCAGGGCGAGCTCTGGATTGCCTGGCAAGAGGTGCTGTCTGTTTTGGGAGGTGGTAGAGGAACCATACCCCAACTATGCCAGAACCACACCACCTGACACACAGGAATGGAGGCCACCAACAGAGACCTGATAGAGTACAAAGTGTCTGGACCTCATGACACCCAATACATAGTTATGGGGTTTGGTCTCCAGGCCTGTTCTTCCCTAAGCTCCCCTGACCCCTTTGCCTCTAGAATGCAGGGTGTGTGGGTCTTTCTTGGCCTAGAATGTTCTCTGACGGTATTTAGGCTGGTTGCTAGTTTTTCTGTTGCACAGGATGTTCTAACCACTGGAGGTGCCACAGACCTTTTAAATTCTGCTGGGGCTATATTTTTGTTTTGATGAAAATAAATGCATAGGAAAGTCTCCAGAACTTCCAGGGGCGCCCATCCTAAGACCAGGCGCTTGTCCCAGGTTGGAGGGGAGTTGTGTCTGTGTGTCTGTACGGCTCCCAGCTAGATCAAGCAAAGCAGGCTGGCTTTCTCATCAAGTTTATGGGGCCTTTGGCTAGGAAGAGAGGGACAGAGGATGTGGTGGCCTGAAATCGAGAAGGTAGGACTGAATCAACCTGGAGATGGGAGAAAAGAAGTATGGGTACTGCTGATGCCAGAGGCCACAGGCGCCACAGGGGAGTGACAGAACCCTGGCCATTAGAGACTGGCTTCTATTCTCAAGTTTGTTTTAGACCCGGGGCCCTGCAGAGATCTGCACTCCTGGCTCCTGACCTCTGGCTCCTGTCCCCTCACCCCGGATCTCACCATTCAGCTCCCCAGGGTAGGTCATCTCAGCCCTCTGCTCTCACTCAGTTCCCTCCAAGCCGTCTTTCTGGCCCCTCTAGGTTGCTTATGGAACCACAGAGAACAGTCCCGTGACCTTCATGAACAACCCCGAGGACACCCTGGAGCAGAAGGCTGAAAGCGTGGGCAGAATTATGCCTCATACGGAGGTGAGCCCCCGACGGATGCCCCCAGAGCTCACCTCACACCACTTGAGGACAGTTGGGGCTTTCCGCCAGGCATCCAGACACCTCGCTCAGCTATAGAGGGCCCCAGCAACGGGGGCTTGCTGGACCTGGCCCGGCTTTGTGGGTTGAAGCGAGGAAGGGGAAGAGCTGGAGCAGCCGCCCCGAGCAGCCGCCAGCTGCGCCTCTCCTCAGCCACCCTTCCTGTCTGAGGTGTGTTTTTGCCAAGCCCACTGTCTGTCTTGGGGCAGCGAGACCAGTCTCAAAAATGAGCCAGAACAGAGATTTTTTTTTTTTCCTTACGCAGCTCTTACTTCCCTTGGGCCCTGCCTCTTCCTCTTTTGTCTGAGCATAAACTCTTCTTTTCCCAAGCTCTCTGTCCCTGGAAGGCCCCTTACACTTCAAAGGCCCGGGACACTCCCCAGTCTCAGACTCCTGGCTGTGACTCCTCTGTGGCTCCAATCATGTAGCTTTATTCGGCTATTACTGAGTGTCTGTGCCTCTGGGATGCACCCTGGGCACTGTCAGAGAGACCTCTTTCTCCCGTCCCCGAAGTGCAGACATGGTAACGGGCAGACCCAGTTTTCCTTGGCACATTGGCTGGGGCTCTTTGTCTACTAGGATTTCGGGTTCTCCCTCTCCTGATCACATGGCACAGCCATTCTGTCATAGTCGCTTTCTTTGCTGCCTTGTGGGAAGTGAGGGAGACAACGATCTCCCCTTCTACATGGCTCATAATTCAGCATCTGGCCTGGCACTCTCCGGCCTCCTTCAAGGCTGCTCACTACCCATCCCTGTCCCCTCCGGTGTGAAAATACAGCAGGAATTTAAAAGGCGGGTGGCACCCCCTACACACACACACACACACACACACACACACACACACATACACACACTCACTCACCCTCCCCATGGTTCAGGCCCAGTGTGGGTCTCTCTGCACGCCGATGGGTCTATTCTAGCTTCATGTTCTTTTCCCTGGTCTGGGATGAGTACACCCAGCAGCTTCTCATTTCTGGGGGGGGGGGGGAGAAAGGAAAGCTCCCCCCACCCCAGTCCCCAGGGAAGCCAGAGAGTTGGAAGCTCAGGCTGGAAACTGACCTGCTGTCTCAGGCCCAGATCGTCAACATGGCGACAGGGGAGCTGACCAAGCTGAACACGCCGGGGGAGCTGTACATCCGAGGCTACTGCGTCATGCAGGGCTACTGGGACGAGCCGCAGAAGACCTTTGAGACGGTCGGACAGGACAAGTGGTATCGGACAGGGTGAGATGGCGAGATGATGTGGACGCTGGCTCCCAAGCAGGGCTGGGCTCCTGAGGCTGAGCTAGGAAACTAAACTACACAGAAGACCTTTGAGACGGTCGGACAGGACAAGTGGTATCGGACAGGGTGAGATGGCGAGGTGATGTGGACGCTGGCTCCCAAGCAGGGCTGGGCTCCTGAGGCTGAGCTAGGAAACTAAACCAGCACACGGAGGCCATGGGTCCCTCTTGTCCTAGAGACTTGGTTTCCAAAATTCGTCTGGGCACAAATAGTGGTAGCGCTCTTGGATGCTACGTGTGAGGCTACAGATTCAATCCCCAGTAGCGTGGGAATGTGGGGGATGGGGAGAAGAAAAAAAAAAAAAAACCAAACCCTTGCTGGAGATGTATCTTAGTTTCCAGTGTCCTTTCTAGTACAGTGAGGTGCTGGGCTCAGTCTTCAGCACCACAGGAACTAGCACGGGGCACACAACTGTAACCCCAGCACTTGGTAGAGGGCAGGGTCATCCTCAGCTACAGAGTGAGTTGAGAGCCAACCTGAGCTGCATGAGACCTTGTGCCCAATAATGGAAAAAAGAATGGGTTGTGGATGCAGTTCAGTGGGTAGGGTGCTTGTCTTGCATGCAGAGTCCCGGGCTCCACCCATAGTGCCACATAATCCCGGGCATGGTATGCGCATGTTTGTAACCCTAGCGCCTGGGTGGTGGAAGCAAGAGTATTAGAAGTTCAAGGTCACTCTCGCGTGACCCTGTCTCAAAACAAGCAACAAAGAAATTCCCCTAAGTCAAAATGTGTGTCATGGGGGTGAACCCACTTCTCACAGTGGTGAGACCCCGGGGCATCACACGACATTTGCGCCCCCAGAGTCTGAGCCCAGAGTCTTCAGGGAGTTGTTTGCTATTCAAACACAAGGAAGGACCTCTCCAAGAGCAGCCAGAGCTCTTAACTGTTGAACCATCTCTCCAGTTCCTAGATTTCTCTTCCTTCTTGCCTGCCTTTCTTTCCTCCTGTCGTTCTTTCTTCCTGAAGCTGAGGCCTGAACCCAGGGCCTTGCAAGGCAAGTGCTCTCCCGCTGAGCTAACCCCCCACCCGTGCGTGCGTGCGTGCGTGCGTGCGTGCGTGCGTGCGTGCGTGCGTCATGTATTAGATCCGCACATTCGCCGTCCACGCCTGCTGTGCGTCAGTGCTGTTCCCAACCTGATGGATGTGGGAAGCAAGCTGAGGAGGGGCCTCCTTCTTCCCACGTGTCTGGTGGAAGAAGACAGATCATGTCAGACATCAAATAAATCAAATGGGGTCACAGGAGAGGAAGTGGCTGTGGTGGAGAAAGAGGATTTTCTTAGACCAGGGTCAGAGAAGGCCTCTGGAAACATTTGAGCTGAGACCTAAATGACTCAAAAAGAAGGCATCCATAAAGACAAGCTAATCTATAAATAAGAAGACGGAGAGAATGGGGTAGGTGCTGTGCTGATTTTCCCCCCTTCTTCCAGCCTAGCCTATAGGTTCCAAAGACGTTTTTTGTTCCTGCGGGGACTTCTAGAATCTAGAGCAATGGGGGACACATAGTAGATGCTCAATAAATGTTTTGTGACTGGGTGAACAAGTGAGCTAGCGGACTAGCACCCTAATGCCGAGGTGAGATGCCACTCCCAGGTTTCTTCTTCCAGAGACATCGCCACGATGGATGAACAGGGCTTCTGTAAGATCGTAGGCCGCTCCAAGGACATGATCATCCGGGGCGGTGAGAACATCTACCCTGCAGAGCTGGAGGACTTCTTCCACAAACACCCACAGGTGCAGGAAGTGCAGGTGAGGCACCGTGAACCCGGTGGTACCCCAGGATTAGCTGGTGAACAGGAAGGGGTTTGCGTTAGGCTCCTGTTGCTGTGACGAAACACCATGATCCAAAGCAACTTACCGTAGTCCATCACCCAAGAGAAGTTGGGCTTGGGATTCAAGGCAGGAACCTGGAAGCAGGAACTGAAGGAGTGCTGCTTGCTCCCTGTGGCTTACTCAGCCTGCTTTCTTATAACACCTAGGACCACTAGCCTAGGGATGGCCCACCCACAGTGGGCTGTCTCCTCCCACATCAGTCATCAATCAACATAGGCTTCCCCCGAGGCCAGCCTGGTGGGGGCGTTTTCCTACGTGAGGTTCTCTCTTTCCAAATGACTCTAGCCTGTGTCAAGTTGACTTTAAAAATGCGCCAGCCCAGGGTTGCGGTGTGGTATTTGTCTTTGACCTTCGATAGGTGGTCGGAGTAAAGGACGCGCGGATGGGAGAGGAAATCTGTGCTTGCATCCGGCTGAAGAGTGGCGAGACCACCACAGAGGAGGAGATCAAAGCTTTCTGCAAAGGGAAGGTGGGACCCCCAACTGCCCTCACTCACTCACCTGCCTCTCCCTGTCTGTCATCCCTGGTGTGTGTGGGAGGGGGGTGGGGGGGTGGGGGGGGTGGGGGGGTATGTTGCCTGATGAACCCAACCTCCCAGCCAAGGGAGCGCTCTGACCTTGGCCAGCCTCACACTTCCCTCTCCGGTCTGCAGATCTCTCACTTTAAGATTCCCAGATACGTTGTGTTTGTGGACAGCTACCCTCTCACTATCTCAGGGAAGGTGTGTAAGGTGGAGGGAACTGGAGAGGGGGTACTGGAGAGGGGCAGGGCAGGGTGGGGTCTGGCGGGCCCAGTTGCGGAAGGCCCAGTGGTCCCACCTCTTCCTCCCTCCATAAGGAGCTGGTGAGGCTGGCAGAGGAGGGTCCAAAAGTCACTTCGGGGCTTTCTTGGGTTTTGCTCTTGTCCCCCCTCCCCCACTGTCATTTCCTAGGCAAACCAAGGATGGTTGGTTACCATGGTACCAGAGCAGCAGACGCTCACTCTTGTCTTTCTTCTAGATCCAGAAATTCAGACTCCGAGAGCAGATGGAACAACATCTAAAACTGTGAAGCAAAAGAGGGACCTCCCAGAGCCCCTCAGTCCTCCACACAAAGGAGGGACCTCCCAGAGCCCCTCAGTCCTCCCACACAAAGGAGGGTCCTCCCAGAGCCCCTCAGTCCTCCCACACAAAGGAGGGTCCTCCCAGAGCCCCTCAGCCCTCCACACAAAGGAGGGTCCTCCCAGAGCCCCGCAGTCCTCCCACACAAAGGAGGGTCCTCCCAGAGCCCCTCAGCCCTCCACACAAAGGAGGGTCCTCCTCAGCCCTCCACACAAAGGAGGGTCCTCC